GGATTGCCCGATGTTGTGGTCCTCAGCTGGCTGGCAGGAGGAAATCCCCCCCAGCAATGTTGTGCAATATGGCTACATCACCCAGAAGAGATGTGGGCACACCGGGGTTGACGCTCTGGTTTTTGGGCAAAACTCTGAGTTTTGAGGGTGATTTTACCATAGAGTTTTGCCCCCAAACCATAGCATTGCCTCCACTGTGCCTACGTCAGTTCCAGGTGACATACACAGGCCAGGGGCGATGCTTCTGGCTCCCAGAACGTTCCCCTACCCCACTACTGGCATCTCTAAAGGACCTGGCAACCCTAGGCCACAATCACAAAATGGCTTCTGCAGGAGGCAGAGCCAAATACAAAACAGCTGCCTCAGGAGGTAAAGCCAACCGCAAAATGTCAGGGAGCTAGTTATATATAACTCTGATTGTAACTCTTCAGCATTTCAGGCAGAAGCTCTGTTTTAACAGGACTCCTTTTTATTTGCACAGCTAGTCAGAAGCCCTACTGGGCATAGGCCCCACCGAGCCCCGCTTATTTTCTGAAAGCTCTTGGTGGGCACCAGGAAAGGTGTTCACAGGTGCCATGGTGCCTTTAGTCACTACTTTGCAGGACCCCTGCTATAAATATACCCTCCCTGGAAACATGAAATAGCCTTATATTATGTTAAACCACTGGTCCAGCTAACACAGAGTTGGAAAAGTGCCTGTTCTTTTGCCTGGTAAATGATAGTAGGACTAAAGATATGACACCTTCACAAATATTTTTCCAAATATAGGGTTAAACAACGGCATCCCTTTGACTACTTCATTTTCAAGTAAAGGCAGCCCATTAAGATCCATCACTCTTCCACTGTTAGATTGCAGCCTCCTTAACATATGCCCTTGTAGTTGGACAAAGGTGTCCTGGAGTGAAGTAGCTCTTTTTACTGGAATCTGGTCCCTTCAAGCTCTGAAGTTATTCCCAGGGAAGATCTGAAGCTGCGTGTTTAGATGGACACATTCCTCTTACTTGGTTGGCCTTACAAAGAAGGAATGTGGCTCACAGGGTATTTCCACTAAAGTTTTACTACCCAATTAGAGAACACTGCATGAAAAGTGATCCTATTTATTGACCAGTATTACCACATGTATAGATTTTGGTTTTTTAAAAAAAATTATTCACATCCCACCTTTCTGTTCAAAAGAACAACCAAGGCCACTAAGTAATACATCAAATAATTAACTATTAACAATGTCTCCCCTGGCAAAAGGCAGCACCTTCGGGTTGTGGCGCCTTTAAAAGGCATCAGCAGTTAAGCAGTGGGCCTGAGCATGTGCAAAAGCTTAGCCTAGATGTCAAACTCTCCCCATGCAAAAGGCATGCCGGTTCAAGCATTTTGTATATGAGTCCATTTGTTTCACAGTGAATTCTCTCAGTGGATTGAACTGGTGGGCAACATATTGCCCAAAGCAGCATCTTCCCCTTTAATGAATGCTATTTAATTGCACTGAGTTGCTCAGTCATTCCTGCATTCATTACTGTTATCTTGAAAAAGATACACCACTTCATAATGAAGAATATAAAGAAGGTACTGTATATAATAAAAGCTGTAGTATTCAGAGCAATTAAAATGAAAACAAATTTTGCAAAAGATGGATGCTTATCCCTGGTCTCATAAAATCGTGTTGCATTGGGATGTTTTCTTTCATTCCTTGAACTGTGACTATAAACAGCTATCTTGCTTGTTTGTGTCTGGGATAGCTGTCAATTTGAGTTTTTACTGCCACCCAGATCCCAGACATATTTATTTGGAAGCTAACTCTTATTATTGTTAAAGGAACTTATTTTCCAGTGTACGTGCTTAGGAAAAATGTGATTGCTTGATCTTGTTACACTGCAAGTCTTCAAGTATTACCGTGTCTGCTATCTCAGTGCAGCAATGACAACAGCACATTCAGTATAGAAATATCCCACGGGACTATTGCCGTACACATTTGGCTTGAGCCAGGCAATCATGCAATGTCAGAGGATTCTCAGCCATCACAGGAGCTATGTTGGTGCCACCCCACATGTCTGGAATTGATTACTATTCCTATGTCGTGGGATTACAAATGACAGGCAGGATAGTAGAATGATCTTGTCTTTCCTCGATGACATACACAAGACTTCATTGCAGCTGTCTTGGCGATCATTATTGCTACACTGGTTCAAGTAGTAAGAATAGATTAGGACCTTCAGATCTGCCTTTTATCCCAAAACCGAATTCTGAAATCTGTTCCTGTTGTCAGATTTTGAGATTTACATTGTAGCACTAAGCAAGCAAACATACTCCAGTCTAAGCCCACTGAAATTTCTGTGCTTGGACTAGAGTGATTCTGTATAGGGTTGTACTCTCTATAGGGTTGTGCCTTCCTCCCACTCCTTGGAGCAAGAGTAACGGTGGTGGCAGGAGGTGGGGCTGGTTCCACTTGGGCTGGAGAAGACCAGCTTCCCATAGAACTGGTAGGTTACATTTTCAGCAGTAGTTTTTGTGGGGACCAAAGTTTTTTTCCTGGGGGACCGTGCCAGAATGGAGTTCCAGAACCCCTTTGACAAAATTCTTTTAGAAATGTTTAAAAGTTCATGAGTTTTCAGTGTACAGATTAAAAAGTTCATTTCCCTCTGGAGAGTTACGGCACCTCTAAAAAAATTTTTTAATAGAGAGTTAACAGTATTTTTCATCACCTGGAAGTACACTCTTAAATGTCTTCTGTGATATATGGTAGATGTTAATCCTCAAAACAGGATGTCACTGATTTTTACCCAATAAGAATAGCCTTAAGGTACCTTTTTCCAGTGGCAGGCAGTATGAAAGCTACAGGAATGCTCTCCATACATTCATAAAGTCAACAGTGATCTTCCCTTGCTGCCTAAGGAGGAGGAGGAGGAGATTGGATTTATACACCACCCTTCACTACCCAAAAGTGTCTCAGAGCGGCTTACAAACTCCTTTCCCTTCCCCTCCCCACAACAGATACCCTGTGAGGTAGGTGGGGCTGAGAGAGCTCTGGCACAGACTGCTCTTTTTTCAAGTACAGCTGTGCCAGAATTATGGCTTGCCCAAGGTCATCCAGTCAGGTGCAAGTGGAGGAGTGGGGAATCAAACCCGGTTCTCCCAGATTAGAGTCCACGCACTTAACCACTACACCAAACTGAGTGACTTCATAGAGCACTGAAACTTCCACAGGGTGTCAGTATGCACTGGTCCTATTGGCCTTGGCTGGCATATATTTGCTTTCGATCGGTTGCCATTACACATTCTTAAGGGTTGTGTGAACAAGTCCTGAGCAGTCGATCTGTTCCATTGCTGCCTGGTTCAATGTGACCTCCGTTGACAAGGTATTCTGTGAAATGCTGCCACCAAATCAGATGTCAAAATGATACCCATTCATGACAAATATGTTGTCGAAGGGTTTCACGACTGGAGTTCATTAGTTGTAGATTTTCCAGGATGTATGGCTGTGTTCTTGGCATTGTAGTACCTGATGTTTCACCAGCAGCTGTGACTGGCATCCTCAGAGGTATAATACAGAAAGATGGAGTACTCTCTGTGTCAATGTGAGAAGAAAAATGGTAGGCAGGTAATTTATATCTACTCAGGAAGGTGGGGTAAGGGCTGAGTCATTATCCTGTAGGAGTTTACCAGGCTGTAACATACTAACGGAGGAGGAGAATGGATTTATACCCCACCCTTCCCTCGGAGTCTCAGAGTGGCTTACAAAATCCTTTCCCTTCCCCTCCCCTCAACAAACACCCTGTGAGGTAGGTGGGGCTGAGAGAGCTCTGACAGAATTGTCCTTGAGAGAACAGCTGTGACAGAACTATGGCTTGCCCAAGGTTATCCAGCAGCTGTGAGTGGAGGAGTGGGGAATCAAACCCAGTTCTCCCAGATTAGAGTCCACGCACTTAGCCACTACACCAAACTGGCTTTCCTGAGGAAGTTCTTTTGCATATGGATTGTCTGTTGAAATTCTAATCTTATCTGTAGTGCTGTTGTAAGATGTAGACAAAGATGAAGCTTGAAGGCAGGAGTCTGGGGCTCACCTCTGGAATCTGGATCTTGAATTAATTATTTCATGTAATGTTGTGGTAATGCCAGATCCAATCTGAAAAAAAATCTGTAAATAAAAATCATGAGAGACACTGAGTAAATATGAATTCCTGGATAACATCCAAAAGACCTTTGAGGCCAGTTTAGAAGTGCTGTTTTCAAAATCTGTGCAGTTGTAACGCAGTGTTCCCAAGGAAGAAGGAAACATGGTAAAAACTTGGAGATAGTTCTAGAAGTACCTGTGCAGAATATACCGTAGTAGAACAGCAGCATTAAAGCTGTCCTTACAGTATGTTCCTGAATCTTGGTCTCTTTGCTGGGACCTCAGCAAACATAACATTTGGCTAAAACTCTCTAATGAACCAAAACGCAGCTGACTCTACACAAGATTGATGCCTTCATTCTATTAAAAACTATGGAGTAAAGAAGAGAGAAAACTCTTGGGTTACAAAAATAAAATCATACAAACAAGTATACAATTAGTTGTATACAAATTCTTCTCCCCATCCTCTCTAATTGCTTGAAAAAAAATTGCTCATCCAGGTATTAAATCACCCAATTCCTTGCAAAATAGCTTTACTGAGTACAATGCTAGGGATGCATAATTTATCACCAGTTCTCTTTAGATAGCCAGATGGGGTGTGTGTGTGTGTGTTTTGTTGTCATTTCATTTTGTTACCTGAGAATATAAATAGTTTGAAAATAAGAAACAAGTCAGTAAATAGTACTCCTTCAGTCAGATCAAGTATCATGGATACGTTTTATTTTCACATGGTTTTGATGTCCTTCACTGTAGCAATGGGCAAATAACAAAACAAAACAAGATTGTCCAACTATGCCGATCAGAAACCGTCTTTATTTGTAGATCTCCCTGTCTCCTTCACCCAGTCAGTTCTGCTTTCTGTCTCTGTCTTCTAACTATCCTCCCATCTTTCCAGATGCAGGACGCTATGGGCTATGAATTACCCTGGGTGTACTTTGTCAGTCTGGTCATCTTTGGATCCTTTTTCGTACTTAATCTGGTTCTTGGTGTGTTGAGCGGGTAAGCTGCTGGTTTTTTGGTGTTCTTTTTCTCTCTCTCCTCATGCTGCAGGACAAGACTCCAGAGCTGGGTTCTTCCATGTCACCAGAGTCCTTTAATTATTGCAAAAGAAAACCTACAGGACATATAACAATTCTATATTGGTTCTCCAGTCAAGGATATTGTGGAAAAGCCAGTGGCAGCAGTGTAATCCGTATGCTGAAGCAGGAATTGCACTTGCCAAAACAAGTCAGCGATTGGAGAAGAGAAACATTTTGCTTGCTTCCTAGTTGACTGAGAACAAATTCTGAGAGCCTTAGCACTGGTGACCCATGTTCCCTTCCGCTGGAGCCTTGCAATGCCCAGCAACTAAGCTGTTCTCACTAATTATCGTTCCACTCTTCCAGGTCAATGATGCCATAGGAAGGGACTGGCCCTGGATCTATTTTGTTACACTTACCATCATAGGGTCATTTTTTGTACTTAACTTGGTTCTCGGTGTACTTAGCGGGTAAGCAGTACCAGGAACAATGTTTTTAATTATCATTGTTGTTTATTATTATTTACATGAACTTCTGAATTCATGTCCCCGTTCTTTCTCTTGTGGAGATACATGTTCTTCCTGCCGGTAGGCTTTGGCTAAACTATGTAAATGGGCAATAGTAGGATACTTAAGTTGGAGATGATATAATGGTAGCAAACAACCCACATAAAATTGGTAACTCCCAATTGTTGAAAGCCAATTGTGGCTTGACCTCTGAAGTGTATTGTGGGAGATGTGACTGTTCTGTTTCCATAGGTAGAGGGTGTGATTATTCTGTAGCAGTCAGTGGTTTATCTGAGGTCACAGTGGAGTCTGATTGCTTTCGATATCATTGGCTTAACTGCTGTGATATCACAGACTGACTGATATGTTTTGATCAAGTACCTCAGTGCTTCTGAATATTGAAAATCTTGGCATTTGAATGCTGATATCTGATCTACAGTTATTCAATCTGAACCATCTAAGGGTACCTACCGGTGTCAGAGTCACCTTGGTAGTGCAAATTGGTTGAGTAGTTTCAGAGCTTTTTAATGAGACACTGGCCACAGACGGCTTATTATCTGATATCTAGAGAAGGCAATAAAAAAAATCAGTGACAAAAGAAAAAAGAATATGAACAAGTTGTAGTTTATAGATAGCATGATGGTCCTGGAAGATTATTTCTTCTTGGTCCAGAGCCTCCCCCCCCCTTTATATCTCTATAAAGAAACTCAAACTAATCATGGAAGGAGGGATATTTCCTGTGGCCTCTTATTGTCTCGGGAAACATAGAGGTTGGGGATTAGCAGTGTAAAAATTCCTTGCAATATTGTAGATTTCAAACATGCTCTGAGGAAATTGCCCACATGAGTGAAAGGGTTGTTCAGTCAACATACGTACTGATCATTTGCTTTCTTGGTATGACACCTAACAAGCAGCAATAATTGGTGGCCATTGTAAAAATGCTGGAAATTGCAATCATTTTGTACAACAATACCAAATAAGAATTGTTTGGAGATGATTTCTTGGTCATGTGCTGGTATTGACTAGATTTAGGTTACCATCAAGGATGAGAAACGTCTAAAATGTCATCAGATATTCCCAGAGATGCTATACTTTTAAGTACTGTTCTAAGAAACAGTTTTATTGCATCGCCCTTAAAATGAGAAAAGAATTTTCAAAAGTACAAATGTCTTAGAAATAGTCCATTTTAGTATTAGTCCGTGAGCCAAGAGCCAAAAATTGACATACTGGTACCAGGTAAGGTGGCAAAACTTTATGTTTTTCTGAAAGATATATGTCTATGTGTTATGCTTTGATGTGATACCCCGTTCTGATTGGTTGCTTAAGCTTTTATTGATGTCATTAAGATGGCTGAAGCCCATTTTTCCTATCTTTTCTAATTTGAGCTATAACTTGTGAACTAAGTGACCAATTCCAAATGTTAAAGCACTGTTGGAAAGCTAGTAAATTTCCCTACAAATAACTGATATGAATAATGCCTCCATCCATTATTGTTTTTCTGATATAAGGCATAAATCAAAGGGAAAAGTCAATTTCCTCCGCATTTTTATAAGATTTATAGCATATAGTGCTTTACCTAATCCAGATAGTCAGCTGAAGTATATTAGACAATTGATGCTTATTCTTTTGCCCTTCCCACAATCCATAGCATGAAGAAATTCATTTTGCTGTGCCACAGTTAGGTACATGAGAACAGTCGCTGGACTCACAAAATTAAGAGATGTTTCTTTGCAGTAACACAAAATTACCAATTATTTATTTTTATTTTATTTTAACTTTCAATTTCTAGACCGCTCAACCCCCGAATGGCTCTGAGCGGTTTACACAGTACAGTTAATTTACACTACCTCACTAGGGCCACATATATTGAGGGGCGATGACTACCTATCAGGCACCTGCGGCAGGGTTTTCTTCTTGATTGTCCAGTTATATTGAATAAAAATAATATAAAACATGAATCTGTTCTCATGAACCTAACAGTGGAATATCAAAATGAATTTCTCCATGCTGTAGCTCAAATTAGAAAAAGTAGTACAACAACTCTATGTATGCAGGTATCATGAATGAAGGTCCAACATAACTGATCTCAAATAGCCTCTGCTTGTGTTCTTGGACAGGCACTGCCAAGCAGAGTAGACAGTACTGATGGACCAATGATCAGACTCTGTGTAAGGAGGTTTCATATGTACCGTTAAAACCCCATTCTTGGTATTGGAAGGAGGAGCAAACAAAATAAAACCCTCCTTTATTAGCTTCCTGAAGAATATTTAGACTGAAAGCCATTGCTGTATTTTTAATATATAACTATCAACATAAATTCTATTTAGTGTCATAAATCACATTTCTAGTTGCTATACTGGGAGCAATAACAGCACAGCAGTTTTTTACATGATCAGACTACTTATGTAGATATCAGACAAATGTGAAACACTTAATCTTCCTGCTGCGTGGGTCCCCATTCATAAAACCTGGTTAACAATATTCAGTCATCCTCAAATATGCATCAGTGTTTGTACAGTATTTAGAAGGCATCATTACTCTTCACTGAATTTCTTACCAGCCGTCTTTGTTTACATTTCCATACCTCAGAGTTCAACAGGACCTTTGCCTTTTCTACATTTATCATGTGTCTGGTGTATCTGTCTACCTTATAGCAAAAATTTTCCCCCCTAGTGTTTATTATTTACTGAGTGGCTTTTGCTCCTGTGGTTTAATGAAATCCTCTTTGCCATCCTCTTCTCCAAAAGTCGTCATTATTAGACTCCTAGCAGGGCTCTTTTTGTAGCAGAAACTCCTTTGCATATATTAGGGGACACACCCCTAATGTAGCCAATCCTCCAAGAGCTCTGTAAGCTCTTGGAGGATTGGCTACATTAGGGGTGTGTTGCCTAATATGCAAAGGTGTTCCTGCTACAAAAAGAGCCCTGCCTAAGAGTAGATGGAGCAAAACCTGGAATGATGACAGACAACAGAGGTGTACACAGACATATATTGACACATATAGTAGCTGTGGGCAGGGCTTTTTTTGTAGAAAAAGCCCAGCAGGCACTCATTAGCATAATAGACCACATCCAACAGCAGAAACTCATTAGCATATTAGGCCACACCCCATGCCTTTCCTTGGCTTACCCAGGCACCATACGGCTGCCGGGAGCCCGAGCAAGCCCCCCCTTGAAGGGAAGGCAGTTTTATCTGCCTTCCCTTGGCTTGCCCGGGTGCCCCGCGGCTTCAGGGAGCCTGGGCAAGCCAGCCCTTGGACAGGCTGGGGAAGGCACAGGGAAGCATTTAAATGCCTCCCCAATCCTTCCAGAGCCCCCCCTGGCCCACCCGCCTTGGAGTCGCCGGGGGGGGTGTTGCTCTCCAGGCCTTCCCTCTGTAGCCACGCACACAGAGGCTTTGGCTGTCATGGGCGTGGCCAACTCTGAAGCCAGCCAGAACTCAGTTCCTGTGCGTTCCTGCCCAAAAATAGCCCTGGCTGTGGGAGTTTGTCTTGAGTTGTGGGGGGGGGCACTGCCGTTAAATTTTTACAGTTCAGAGGGTAGCTTGAGTTCATTTAAGACATATCAGAGGTAGTGTTGCCCTCAAATTTCAGCTAGTTATGTTCATAATAGCCTTATCACCTTCCTTGAATTTCAAAAGTGTTTTGCAATACAATATGGGGAACAGATGTTAGGGCCTTAAAGATAATCAAAATCCATGTATTCATGGCTTGATACTGAAAACTAGCATGGTGCAGATTTGGTCACATCCTGCGAAGACAACGCTCAACTAGAAAAGACAATAACACTAGGAAACTGGAAGGCAGCAGGAAAAGAGGACAATCCAACATGAGATGGATTGAGTCGATAAAGGCAACCACAGCATTCAGTTTGCAAGACCTGAGCAAAGCTATTATTGACAGGACTTTTGGAGGCAATTAATACATAGGTCACCATAAGTGGGAAGTGACTTGACAGCACATAACACACATACACAGTGCAGAGGTTAGAATGTTGGGCTGGGATCTGGACAACCCAGGTTCAGATCTCCATTCTAACATGGATGCTCACTGGGTGACCTTGAGCACTCTCTCTCTCAGCTCAACCTACCTCACGAGGCTGTTGAGAAGAATAAAACTTAGGAGAGGACAGTGATATACACCACCCTAAACTCTTTGGAGGAAGGGCAGGATTAAAAAAATTAACTAAATAAATTTAAAAATATATAATATGAGTAGCTGAGTTATCATAGTAGGAAACTTAACATTCCCACAGCAATTTTGCTTTTGTTTTTGCTCTCATCCTATTATCCCTTCCCTCTCACCAGAGAGTTTTCTAAAGAAAGAGAGAAGGCAAAAGCTCGGGGTGACTTTCAGAAGTTGCGGGAGAAACAGCAGCTGGAGGAGGACTTGAAAGGCTACCTGGACTGGATAACTCAAGCAGAAGATATTGACCCAGAAAATGAAGATGAAGGAATGGATGAGGAGAAGCCCCGAAACAGTAAGCAACTTCCCTGTGTTTTCTTTATGTTCCTAGCTGGGGATGAATGTTCAAGATGAGGTGTACACTCAGAAGTGATACCCATACATGCCCAGAAACTACTACAAAAGCTTGCTGAGATAGTTCTCCATTTGCTTGCAGTATTAACATTTGTTCTATAAAAGACAGGGAGAGGAAAGTATTGAGTACATTTTCTGTAAACTAAGAAATGAAAGCATAGCCCATACTTTTCATGAGGGCTCCTGGGCAAATGCAGTGTAAATATGCTTTGGTCTTCTATTTAATTGCTGCTGAGCCTTTGAACTGGTAACTAATTTTGAAAGAAAGGACAGGGAGAGTATATTGGTCACTCCAGCCTAGTCTTCATCATGTTAACATAAAATAACTGCACAGGTACTGCAGTCTTAAATAAACATTGCAGCAATGTGTTCGTTCGTAATACCAGAATGTAATACCTGTATGGCATCAAAATAACATCATGATTTGTGATGCTATTGTTCTATGGTAATAGGGGATATGTTCTACCAGAAGGAGTTCTTTGTTGGTACAGAAAAGCATTATTCTTCCTGTGAGTTAATGGAATTGCAAGCATGTTTGTGTTCCAAAACTGAGTTAAATCTCTGGGGGCTTTCCTAAGACACTCATTTTCATTTATTTTCAGAACTCTAAAATGACTATGTTTATGAATTACAGCAGGAAAAAAAGCAGGAATTAACTAGATTAACTCTGCCAGAAAGGCAGAAATTAATTAATTATAGGTCCCACTAATTTCTTTTTTCAAATTATCTTGTGTTTCATGTACATTTAATTTGTCAGAACTTCTCATACGCCATTGCATTGTTTGAGTCTTTCCCCCCCATCTCCTCTATGTCGCACTCTTATGGGGATTGGGGAATATAGGCTCTGTTCTTGATTCCTACATAAGAGAAGCCAATATTGGAACAGGCCAATGGCCCATCCAGTCCAACATTCTGTCACACAGTGGCCAAAAATACCAGGTGCCATCAGGAGGTCCAGCAGTGGGGCCAGGACACTAGATGTTCTCCCATTGTTGCCCCCCCCCAAGCACCAAGAATACAGAGCATCACTTGCCCCAGACCAAGAGTTCCTATTTATACTTTGTGGCTAATAGCCACTGATGGACCTCTGCTCCATATGTTTAACCAATTCCCTCTTGAAGCCATCCATGCTTGTAGCTGCCACCACCTCCTGTGGCAGTGAATTCCATGTGTTAATCACTCTTTGGGTGAAGAAGTACTTCCTTTTATCTGTTCTAACCTGACTGCTCAGCAATTTCATTGCCTGAACGTGTTCTGTCTTTGTAAGTCCATGTAAATTGGTAATTGCTTCAAACCAAGCTACATGTTATGATTTTAACTAGTTGGGTTCTTCATGATCACACAGCAGCAGTGGGGAAAGGCAGTACCCAGGAGCCCAGTTGGGGTCCACAGCACCGAGGGAGGAGGGGCTCCTGCCCCTTCCTCTGCTGGTCTGGGACTCTTCTCTGTATGTAGAACAGCTCTGCCTTTCAGCAAGATTACCCTTCCAGCTCCAGCAGAAGTCTGGTGTTGCCCCCTGAATGGCCGAATCAGGGTGCAGAGACATGGAGAAGGTTTATTTTCCATCTCCTTGTGTCCCTGAGAGTACCCTCTGCTTTTCTGATACGTAAATGCCGTTGTTAATTCCTGTGTGCCAAAACAAAGCACTGCCCTTGGAGACAGTGCTGTGCAAAGGCAAAACTGCTCATGGCCTAACCTACACTTAACTCCGGCAGGGGAGTGCAATATGTCTGTCTGCATCATGTGATGCAATAGGGCCCCCCAGGTCTCCTTGTCACAAACATATCTTTCTTTCACGTAATGGGTTGGATCCAGACTAAACTAGCAATTTCCACCAATTCCCCCTTCAGAAACCCCCCCCCCCCCCCCCCCCGGTTTCTCGAGATCCCTTATCCTCAAGAACATCATTTTGTGTTGATCAATGAGCTGCAATGGGAGTGGGGAGGCATGTTCATATGGGGGGGGGGGCTTTAAAGGTCAACACCAGTGCCTTGAATTGGGTCTGGAAACAAATTGGGAGCCACTGTAAATGGGCCAGGACTGGAATGATACGGTCCCTACAACCCACTCCAGTTAACTACCTGGCTGCAGTGTTCTGTACCAACTGAAGTTTGTGAACATTTTTCAAGGGCAGCCCCACAAAGAGCACATTAGTAATCTAATATAGATGTTACCAGGGAATGCTCCACAGTGACCAGATCTTTTCTACCAAGGAAACGCCACAGCTGGCTAAACAATTGAGCCCGGTACTGGATAAGCAGGCAGCACTTCTGAATTTGTATGTAGTCTTGTGGAATGGTTATATATGTATGATACAGGCTTAATATGATAAAACCCTAATAAATATATTTGCAAAAAAAAAAAAGAATATTACTCCCATCTTGAGATGTTGCACTGGCTGCCTGTTTCCCAAGCTCAGTTCAAGGTGCTGTTTATTACCTTGAAAGCCTTTCATAACTTGGGACCCACATACTTGAAGGGCTCTCTCTCTTGATTTGAACATGTATAACAATGGCAATTATCCCAGCAGTTTTCCTGTCTGTCCCTTCAAGCAAGCAAAATCTGCTATGGCCCAGTCTTGGGCCTTTTGCTGGCCCCTGGCTTGTGAAACGGCCTTCCATAGCCAGGGTTTTTTTGTAGAAAAAGCCGAACAGGAACTCATTAGCATAATAGGCCACACCCCTGAAGTACAGCTCATTAGCATATTAGGTCACACCCCATGCCTTCCCTTGGCTTGCCCAAGCCGGGGAAGGCACGGGGAGGCATTTAAATGGCCCGTCCGCCTCAGAGTCGGCGGGGGGGGGGGCGCATTCCTGGCGAAAACAGCCCTGTCCATAGCGGTAGGAAAGTGTGCACTATCCTCACTTTTAGAAAGCTCTGTGAAAGCAAGCCATTCGGAAGGATATTTGAGAGTGGTTAGCAATGTTGTCTGGCTGTTGAGCTGTTTCTGGTTTTACTCATGTAATGTGGTTTTAATTTGGGGGTGGGTGTTTGTTTTAATTCTATGTACTTTGTGTCCTGTTTTAGAAGAAAAGAGGTCTGTTTCTATAGCAGAACATGGCAGGAATTAGGCAGCTAAGTCCTGAGGCAGTCAAAAGGAAAGAGACAGTTCAGATTGCTGCTGGAAGGTAGTATTTTTGACCTCTCCCCATATTTAAAATTATCTGCAGGTGGAAAACTAGCACAGCATAGAGTGAGATGGCTAGGCCTTTTGTTTCTGATATGCAAGAAGGTTGGTGGAAGAGGGAGTAACAATTTCTGCCTGTTCTGTCCTGCTGCACACTCCCACTTTGCCCCCTATGCTGTTTGGGTCTGCTGAGCCCCCAGGGCCAAAATTTCAGGGGCCTTAGTGGGCTGCAGCAGGAGACGGAAGGAGGAAAGTTCTGCTCTGCAGAGACTGCCAAAGGTTGCATATGTGCCAATAATTAAGCAAACGTTGAGAACCAGTGGTGCAATATATAATGAATGAAATGTCATTACCACATGGCTCTTTAGAGTGGCTGCATATGATTTAATAATGCTTTGGCCGTATTTTGAAATCTGTCTCTTGTATAAGTGAGTTATGCATGGTAATTTTTTTAAAGGGTTTTTCTATTTTTTCCCCAGAGTTTGGTCATCTTTTGGAAAATACAAAAATACATTTATAAAAAGTGCCAAGCAACAGATACCGGGGCAGGACAGCTATTTAGGCTTTAGGCGTCATATCCTCTCCAGAGAAACATTCAATTCCACCTCCTGCTCCCAGAACCTTTAATTCACTGTTGAGGAACACTTTAGGGCAAAGGTGGATGTAAAAGAAACCTTCTCTTAGAGGATTCAATCATAAAAGTACACTGTAATGGAATTGATGCCCAGAATCAGTCAGCTCCTCATGCAGCTGAGCTGGGAAAACAATGGGAATCTATATGTCTTCCTTCATAAATATGTAGAAGTGGCTGAGACAATATGCTGGTGGTGACAAGTACAAGAGTTTTGGCCACATATCAGAGTTGGTGTCTGAATCATAATAAGAAAGTACTGAAAGGGGAGCCTCGGTGAAAAAAAAAGAGAGAACACGAAAAGGGAATGAAATAGAAAGAAAAGGATGAGAGAATAGTTGAATTGTCAAATTAGTACAGTGCTGTGTTTTATTGACGTCACAGCTGTACCCCCCTGTCGTGGGCAGCGGCTAGAAAAGCTCTCTGATCGCTGCCACCACTCTGGAATGGGTCTCCTTGGGAGTGCCCAGAGCACCCACCCTACCCCTTTATCCACTGCTTTTCCAGCAAGTTCCCCCTTGTAAGTGACCAAATGAGGCGTGAGGACCCAGGCAGAGTAACAAAATATTTATTAAAGAATTTCTACAACAACTGTAATTCAATAATGTGTAGGAAAAATTAGCACAGTAAAGGTAGGTAAACCAGCAAAATAAGAAACCCGAAAGCGTCTGACTATACTGTACCTAGCCTTCTCTAGGTCTTTGCCTCAAGCAAACTCACCCCCCCCCTCCTTGGGTGATGGATCCCTCCATCTGCAGCAGCCTCACACTAGCTCTGCTCCCTGGGCATGAACCCCCTCCCACATTGGGCAAGGCCTTTTATCTTTTCTTCCTAGGCACCACCCTCTACTCCTCTCCTGGTGTAAGTTTTCCCACCAGATCCCCTGTTAACCAATCACAGGATCCAGAGGAGGCCTGGAAAATGTAGGCCCTGATAGCTAATCTAGTACATGCTTCCTTGGAGCCACTACGCCTCCCTAGAGCCTGTAGGCCGTACTACTATAGACCTAGGATCATGACACCCCCCTTGTATTATAGTGTTAGCTTGACCCTCTTAGTTCACAGATATATTTTGGGTTGAGTTCCCCCCCCCTTTTTCCCCCAGTTTTTGTCACTCCTTGGAAGTCTGCCATCCAAATACTAGCTGGGGCCAGGGGTCGTTTGGGGCCGGAGCGCACCTGAGC